GCAGCGTCCACCTGCAGGTCCTGCAGGCAGCCCACAAAGCCTTGCTGGCTCCCCGTGTTGTTGGCCATTGGATCCTCAGCACCTCCAATATACAGAGTCAGGAAGGCTTGTGGGCTCACAGCAGTGCTGGCTGGGACAGGAGAGCTCTGCAGGCAGAGCCCGGCCTCACAAGAGCCGTGCCAGAGCTTCAGCTGCACCGTGCTGTGCACGACAACTTCCACTCTGTGCCACTGGCCATCGTCCACTCTGAGCCCCCTCAGGAGCAGCGGGTACCCAACACCCTCCCTCTTCAGCTCCGCGTGCAGGATGCCATCCAGGAGCTCCAGGAACAAGTACTCGGCTTCCCGGCCTCGGTAAAACAGGACAGCGCTGGGCAGAGTGGTTCGGAAGCGGAGGGACACGCTGGCCCCTGCCGTGCCCCTCCTGCTCTCACTGTCCTCGGGCAGCTCAACGAGGAGATACCCTCTGGAAGCAAAGGAAAACGTTGTTGGTGTGGAGCACGTGGCATCATAGAATCCAGGCTGGCACTGGCACAGGTGGCCGTGGCTCTCGGCTCGGTACGTTGGGATGCACAAGGCCTCGTTCTGGCAGTCGTGGCTCTGGCACCCAGTGAGCTGCACAGAGCAGTTCTTCCCTCCCCACGTAATGCCATCCTGGCCAGGGGCACAGTGGCAGGAATAGTCAGCAATGCCATCCTCACACACAGCTCCATTCTTGCAGGGACCCTCCTCACACTCATTGATGTTAACAGCACATTCCACACCTGCAAAAGAGATTTAGAGAGGGGATCTCACCTGGGACTGGGACTGCCCTCCCCAGTTCTCTCCAGGGAGCAGCTGCCAGCAAGGAGCCCCACACTCACTCACAGGCTCCTGCCATGATGCAAGAGCAAGAAACCCAAACTTCTGTGTCCTCCCAGGTGCTATTTATTTATAGAGCTTTGGCCTGTCAGCCCAAATCCCCCCACCAACTGCTGTCCTGGCCCAATGGCCCAAGCTCAATGTGCAAAAGGTATGAAAGGACTAAAACAGCACAGACAAGGAATTTGTGCTTTTTTCTTAATAGATTAGGTATGTGGAAAGGCCAGGTAGGTCTATAGATCTGACTGGAGCCTGTTCCAGCCACCAGTGTTGCAGACAGCAGTAAAATGGGAAGTTACTGGAAAGCCTCAGTTAAAAAAAATCCAATTCCAAGACAACCCACCAGTTGTAAAACTCACAAAACCCAATTCATTACCAAACAGCAAACACAACATGCTCCACAGGCACTCTGCCATGCTGGCACTAAGCTGATTTCAGCTCTGCCCAGTCCTGCACAAATGAACTGGGTGAGGTCCTGCACTGCCGCTGTCTCCTGGCAGCACATGCATCCCAGTGGGGCTCAAGTAAATGACCAAATCTGGCTAATGAAAATCTGCTGTCATTTTCCTGAGCATCCCAGACTGACAGAGGAGCCTGAACCAGTTCACTTTATCTAGCCTATAACATTGGTTTTCACTAATCTTCAGAGACAGTCCCACAGATAAACCAAGCATGGATTATCCCAATCTAATAGCATTACACCCGATCCAGCCAGCAAGCACAACGAGGGCAGCAGGAAGAAAAAGAAGGAATTCACACACAAAGGAGGGGAATCAAAACACAAAGGACATTTGTAAAGAAAAGCCATCAGACAGAATGTGCATGTCAAAGAGATTAGAGAGCTGCCTGGGCACAGAGATGAGGGGAGATGGGGCACTAGGAGCACTGGAGCTGGACTTGATGTGTGCTTAAAAATAAAAACAGCAAAGATACAGGTTCTTGAATATTTGCAGTGATGGTTTGTCCCCTGAGCTCTGCAGACAGATGAGCAGCAGCTTCCAGCTCCAAACTGATTGTGCCAGTGTAGGGCCAGAGCTCTGGGAAGCACTGAAAGAGATGCAGGGCTCCAGCTCTGCACTTTGCAGATGTGCCAGAGCTGCTCTGTCAGCAACAGCATCTTCAGCACAGCCCTCTTCCTCTTACTGCTGGGCTGCTCAGCAGAGGAACAGCAGGGACAGAACTGAGACTGCAGCAAAAGCTACGAAGGAAATGTGTGGGAATAAATAGAGCGTGAGGGACATCACTGGGCCTGGGGAATCCCAGTTTGGGAGAGATGGGGTGGGTTTGCTTGGGCTCTCCAAGCTGCAGGAGGCAAGCGTGCAGTCAGATTGAAGGGGAGAGGCTGTTGAATAAGGGAAGAGGTTTGGTACGGTCCCAAATCCTAGAGATGCTGCTGTTTGAGATCAGAGCTGCTGATATTTACCAAGACAATGAGGGGAAGATAACATTGGTTTGGATAACAAAAGGAGAGATGCCGTGAATTTCTGCATTTCTGAGAAGGCTGGAGGCAGGAGGGGCCCATTTCCCATTCCACATTCCCAGCCTGAGCAGGTCCCAGCTCCTGCCTGGCTCTGCCTGCCCCCAGCACCTCCCACCAGGTGGGATGGGAGTGCCCTGGGTGGGTGCACAGCCCCGGGCTGGGGCTGATTACACACCAGGCTTTCCCAAGGGATGCAGCTGGTTTGATTTCTTCGATTATTTGTTTGAAATGGGTGAAAAGTAGATTGCACAAGAGTTCTAAAAATCTGGCTAATGACAATTTTTTTCCTGGAAGATTTAGTAAGCAGTTATCTGGAGCTACATCACTGCAGTTTCCAGAAGTACAGATCATTTCCTGGACATCTCTTATTCCAATCTTCTCCAAGACACGGACAGTTGTGTCTTTGCAGACCCACTGGGAAGTAGATATTAAGAAGTTGTTCAACACTAATTGTTTTTTTCTAAGAGCAGCACAAGCATCCCTCTTCAGGTTTATTTTAAAAAAAATTAACTGGGGGATGTGACTCTGTTCAACAAAAACAAGTAACAAAACCGAGTTATTCTCCTTGTAAACAAGTAGTACTCTCTTGTGTTTGTTCTAAATTTCATAGCTGAAATGTTTACTTTTATCTGAGCCATCAAAAGTAAAACAACCAATCTGATTCATTACACCATTAGGAGACTTTCAAAGGTTTAATGAGTTCCTTATCTAGTTAAAGACTAACAATAGCAAAGCAGTGGAACTTGTTATCTGGCAATCAGACAAGTGGTATCTAAAAGGCTGCTATCTGGAGCCGAGGATTTCAAACATTCCCCTAATCCAGCAGTGTCTGAGGTAACAGCCCCAAGCCACCAAGCCACAGGGAGCGGGTCAGAAACACTCAGAAGTGGCTGAGGTTTCACAGCCTCCAGAATATTCAAATATTCAAATACAAATCCTTCCCCGCGTTCAGGGTGTTACCGCTGTGGTGGGAACAGTTCTGTTTTGTAGATGTAGTGGGATTAAATCCACACAGCTCAGCACTGCCTGAATGGAGGGAATGATTTACTGGCTGCTATTAATAAGCAAAGAGTCATTGTACACAGTCTAAGAATCATGTACTTCAACAGATACATAAAATGTTAAAAGAATAAGCACAAATGAAGTGAAATATTCTAATTTAGCTGTCAGATATCAAAAAACCTTGAAGGACAAGGTCTATTCCTTGAAACACGGGAGTTCAGCAGGGCTGCCCGGCCAGCACCGCCTTGCCCTCTCCGTAAGGGAGCTGAATTCCTAACGACCTTTCCCTGCTGCATCCTAATTAGGGATTGTATTATGATTATCAAAAGGAAAAAGGAGGGGAGGGAGAGGGGTAGGCAGAGCATTAGCCGCCACAAGCGGACCCCGACACAATGATATTTGCACAATTACTGCCATTTCCATGGCAACCCCTGCTCTGCCGCTCGGGCGCGGAGCGGGAGGAGCTGCCGAGGGCTCCGAGCACCGAGGGCTCGTCCTGGGCCGCAGCCACAAACCCGCTCCCCACAAGGCAGCTTTCAATCAATACAGAAAATGGAAACTGCAAAACATCGGTAAAACGCAAAACCAGCGTTTGCCAGAGGTAGCCGGGAGGCACCGGAGTGTCTGCAGAGCTCACCCGGAGTGAGGGGCACAGAGCCGGGGGCTCTGGCGCTGCCCCACAAGGCGCAGCTGCAGCACGGGCACTGTGGAGCTGCCAGGCAGACCCGTGCAACAAAGAAATTCCCCGCCTTAAAGTTTCCAAAACAAAACTTTAGGTCTCTTCAAAATAAAAACATTCTTCCTTTCTAATCAATTCTGGTTCCTCCTGATGCCCCCAGGCAGCACTCAGCACACAGCCAGCCCCTGCCCTGGGCAGGCACACACACCAGCAGGACACACTGCAAGCACCGTACACATCTCATTACCTGCCAGCAGAACAATTCCCCTCAGGATCACGCCAATCAGCACAGATTTCATGGCCGACTCCTTGTGGACATTGGTGACAGTAAAGGGAAAAAAATGGGGGTGAAGGGGGGGAGGGATGGCAAAGAAGGCAGGGCTGGCAGGGCCGTGTGTGCAGGCGCTGGCTGGTGCCAGTCCCACGAGAAGGGATTGGAGCGGGGGAGCAGAGCCCTGCCCTGCCCAGGTCTAATCCAGCCCGGCTCTGACCCTCCCAGCTGGCCCCTGTCCGTGCTGACACCAGGAATGTGGCTCCAGCATATTGCTGCTCCCTGCCTCCTGCCGTGCCCAGCAGTGCCCGCAGCCCCAGCGCAGCAGGGACACAATCCCCTGCCCCTGCCCGCTCAGGTGAGCTGCCAGAGTCCCTCAATGAGGCCAAAATGTTCTTTCCATAGGCTAAGCCAAACGCTGCGTTTCCACCGTTGTGCAATCCCCATAGGAACAAGGGGAGCTCCGAATGCAGAGGGAACCCGGGCCCTGCTGCACATTCACTAGTGAGGGAATAATCGGGGTCCATCAGGCAGTTTTCCTTCTCCCTGTTCCCTGTTCCAGTGATCTGTCAGCACAGACATTTCCACTCTGCTGTATTCACTAAGAAAAGTCTCAGGTTTTAATGACCATGGTCTGTGTCCCTGAAGTCAAACTGGATGGAAAGAAATTCCCTGCATTATGCTGAATGTACGGGTTCAGACACAGCAGTACACAATCAAAACTCTCTCTTTCCCCATTAGCCACCTTACTAAATTAGCTGCTGCAGTCTCCTTTTTCCTCTGTGGTTCTGGGGTTTGTTTTTATTTTGTTTTTTAATATAGCGACTTTCATATTATAAAATTTCTGGAGGCAGAGTTGTATTTTTGTGTTGTAAGGACCCAGAGAAGTTTCTTATTTCTGTGAAGAATTGTTATCTGAGAGCCTTTCCCCAAACTTGGAGTCTCTGTATCAATGTCAGGTCCAAGCAAACAAAGCCTCCCACATGTCCCTGTCTGGAATCTCCATGAGCAGTATCACTAAGATATTTTAAAAAGCGTTCCAACAACTCCCCTTGCCATTTCACTTCTGTAATTTTATTCAATCCAAACATGCCAGTCACTTTTACAGATACTTGAAGTGGGAGGGATATGGTGAGTGTTTGTTTGGAGTCCAAACTTCTCGAACAGCCACGGACCTGTGCACACACAGACCTACCCCAGCACAGATTGGGAACATTATCTCTGTTAGCTACTCTGGCCCTTCTGTTACTGCTCAGGAGAAAACAAACAGGCAGTTGTGCACATTCAGCCACTACTGCAACAATAAAGTGTAACAACTGTGAAGACTACAGAACATTCAATGTCTTGCAAAAGGCGCCTGTTTTGGTTTGTGCACCCACACATTTATCTCACACACACACAGAGGCTACCTGGACACTGCTGCCTGGAAATCCATCACACCCCACTGCACCCAGCACAGATTCTGCTCTCACCTGGCACCAGGCACAAGCAGGCTCTGGACTGCAGCACTCACAGCCTTCTGATCAGATGACAGGGAAGTCAAAAGGTCTGATTAACACGGAGCTGTGATCCAGCAGGGAGAAGAAACGTGGAGCGGAAGGGAAGGGAAGGGATTGGGGGAGCCTCACCAAGTGCTCCTAGCTCCCTTCAGCTATATTTACCAAAAGGGATTTGGTTGAAGGTGGAACAGGCCTCTAATCTCTTTACTATCTTAACCTTTTAGCTGCCCTTGCTCTAGAGGCGCCGTCTCTAAAACAAATCTGACTTAAGAAATACCTGCACAAAAAAATTACATCTATCCAAAGGTGGTTAGAAGGAAGAAGCATCTCCCATTTATTTCCTGACCCATGACCCAGGAATTCAAGCCCATTTGATCTGGGCTGGCGCCCTTACAGAGTCACCATTTACAGCTGCTGCACAGAAGGTTTCTACTTCTTCAAGGAGACAAAGACATGATGGCTGAACAAAGTGAGATGGTCAATAAGCTCTCCAATTATACCGGGACACATTCACACCACATCACCTTCTGATTCCTCATGAAAGTACAAGTGTTGCTCAGAATGTTGCCATGATCACAAGGTGCCAGTGCCCGGGCTGGGTGGCTGCGATGGCAGGGGCTGCCCAGTGCCAGTGCCAGCTGCAGACACGGCCTCCTCTGCCTGGGCACTGCTGCAGCTCCGCTGGGGGCACTCAGGACGTTTAAAAGGTTTTAAAGAGTGAATGATCCAAACTTCAGCGATAACATTTTTGCAGGTTAAAAATCGGTGCCCATGTCAAATGGAGCTACCTGTCTTTTTCTCATCCTGGCCTAACCTATTGCCTAGTAAGTACCTGATGGACTGAAACCATTTCTGAAAAAAAATTCATTCAGAATTCATTTTGTTGGATTTCTTTTCCCCCCAAAAGACAGACCTTTCCTAATATGCTTTGTCTCTTGACCACAGTTGCCATCATTTCCAAGAGCATGCAAGATTCCCTCTCCTTCACACCTCATTTAGTACCCACGAAATCTTTTGATTTGCATTTCTTGTATCCCCTCAGGGTACCTATATCCTCTGCTAAAGCACAAACCATGTGCTGAACAGACTCCTCAGGACCCGTTTTTGTTCTCTCAGGAATCAGGCACCACTTTTGCAACAACTGCATTTCAGAGAGAAGGTTCATCTGCCTACACTACACTAAGAGAGCACTGAAGCAGTTAATTTGCAAAGAAGGAATTTCTCCTGACTTGCATTGTTATCCCAACACTCCCCAAATTCCTCAGACTGAAGAAGCAAACACACAGAGGGAACCCCTGCCGCCCCAAGAAAGCATTCCTCATCAGAGTAGCAAGTTCACTTTAATCAGTGGAGGCAGCTTAAACCCAAGTTCATGGCAGATCTAAGCTGCCACAGAAATGGGTTTTGAAGAGAAACATTATGGGAAGCTTCACAAAGTTGTTCTGTGATCCTAATATGAAGTAATAAGCTGTTTACCCAGCATGACTGTACTGGGATTAATTGACAAAGGAGGGGAGATTAATTGCTATTATTTCCCTGTCAGCTTCACTCCTCCACACGCACTCAGTGATCTCACAGACTGCTCCCAGCCCTTTGCTGGGTTGATGTGTCAGAACTACCTCAGCTGAGACAAAGTCCTTTACCAAAAGTCATATCCAGAAGAGCAACCTGCTTCTAATCCCCTTCATGTACTAATGAACCCAAATTTGATGCAACAGAATGAACTCTAGCACTCCTTTGCCCATCAGCCCATGTTTCTGTCAGCTTTTCTGCCCATGAGCACACTAAGAATTGGAAAGGATTAAACAGATCTGCAGTTTGGCAAAGTACAATGAAATTCTGAGCTCTTTGTGGGTGCTGGGGCACTGCAGGAGGGAAAGAGAACAGGGCACAGATGTGAGCGGGAATTCTGACAAGAAGGATAAACTTTAAACCATCTCTTTGGACAAGATCTCAGTTCAGAGTACAGCATTGTAACTGCCTCAGAAAGCAGCAATAACGAGCTTAGATAAAAGCTCATTTTCAAAGGCCTCATCTACAAAAGCAAATTTTTCTTGATCTGGCCTAAATTAGCAAATGAGATAGGTCAGAAAACCCCACAAATAATTCAGCCCAGTTACAGAAGGTGTTAACTAGAAGCTGATTTTACATTCTGGGAATGAAAGTAATAGGTCTTCCCAGGAAAGAGCTGGGCAGAATTAAACCAACACAGCTCAACCGCTGAAACCACAGAAGGAAAACAGAAAACGTTCCCATGCCATAAAGGCCCGAGAGGCCTCTGGAATGTTGTTACCTGCTGTTGCAACTTAAGGGACAAGGTTTTCTTCTGGCTTCAAGTGTTTCTTTTTCCCACGAGATGGCAGCCTGGTAACACTGTGGAGAATTTACCCTCATCTAAAATCCAGAAATCCGGGATTGTGCTGGGATCACGTTTCTTATAAACTACTCTGGTGTTAAATTGCCCAACACATGTGGAATTTAAAGATGAAGAAGACTGAGAATGAATATTTAAAAGAAAGATGAGGTTTAGTACCAGTTGGCAGAGGACCTTCCCAACAGGGCTAACATTCACCATCTCACAGATTCTCAACCACAAACGGAACCCTGAGGGTCAGGCAGGGCATGTGGGGAAGAATCCAGACTCCTCATTCCCTTGTAAACAGAGAGGGCTTCCTTTGCTCACATCACAAGGACCTTTTGACCTGCTAACATAGCAGATCACTGCTTTCAGCCAAAGATGGCTGGCTCTTATCATCCCGGGGTGCTAGTGAATGGAGATGTTTTACAGATGCTTATGTGTTGGCTACAGCCAGTAAAATCTGTGGCACTAGAACGCTAAACATCCCTTCTTTTATTTAAAGGCTGGTTTTCTATATATTTCCTGCATGTATAGGTTTTAAAGACAGAACCCCCCCCAGTTGTCCCAGGTAACTTTCACTCCAGGATTCAGATGCCCTGGATACCCAGCTCGGTGCTGCCCCCTCAGCCTGGGATGCTGCAGCCAGGCAGCAGGGCAGCAGCTCAGCACTGCAGGAGCTCTGATTGCAGGCACCCCTTCCCCAGGTTACCTGCATAACCAGGTGGGCACTGGCACAGGAAGCCATTCACCAGGTCCTGGCAGAGCCCTCCGTTCTGGCAGGGCTGGGACTCACACTCATCAATGTTGGTGAAGCAGGTGTCCCCTGGAGAGTGAAAACACAAACACACCTCAGGAGTGCACTTGTGCAGCGCTGAAAAAAAATGACAACTGCAGTCTTAAGTTTTGCACTTCTTTTCTTTCATCTAAAAATGGAAAAGAATTCCTTGAAGTCTAGCATGTCTCTGCAGGCACTGGCACACAAACACCAGCATGAAACAATGGGGGCCATGAAGTATGAAATGATTTTCCAGTCTCAAACACTGGCAAGATCAGAACTTCTGAACCATTCCCATCTGTGCAATAGTGGACCAAACACTCATATTTCTCTCATAAAATAATAAAGTATTATTGCTTATGCCTTCTCACTAGGGAATTTCCCTAGCTGTTAAATTCAGCCTTTTACACATATCTCCAATCCATGGAAAGGGTGATATTTCAGTGGAACGTCCACAGAGCTTCTAGTTCCAAGAGCTCCACACCAAGAAACTCCTCTTGTCCCGCTTTGATTGTACAGTTGCTGCCATGAGAGTAGTCTCACCAAGAAAACACCCAGAATAGTAATCTGTGACTCCAGGGAGTTGCTTCCTCTGATGAGGAATTTCAGAGATACCCTAAGGAAGAATCCTGGAGAGACTGTCAAAGGGAAATCACCCTGGCACCTGCATAGCCAGAGGGCATCCATGGCAGCATGGGGAAGTGCACAGGCTGCTGCCTCAGCCTGGAGACAATCCTGGACAGGGAATGACATCCAGCTGTCTGTAATGGGAGCAGAAGCACATTCCTGATGCACCAGCCCCTCTGAAGTACAGTCCTTAGGAGATTTCTGTCGCAGAGATAACATTGCCCAGCCCCTCAAAGGGCAGCCCCACCCGGTGCAGACAGGATGGACATTTGCTGTGCAGCTCACCTGTAAAGCCTGGCTGGCACTGGCACAGGAAGCCAGCTGCCTGGCTGTAGCTGAAGCTGCTGGGGAAGTGGGGCTGTGTCCCGTAGTGGGCGGGGTCGGAGCGCTGCAGGCACAGGCCGCCGTTGTGGCAGGGCCCTGTCACACACTCATCCACATCCTCCTCGCAGTGCTGCCCGGTGTAACCTGCCACGAGACACCGCTGTCAGCACTGCACAGCCTCCCTGCGGCTCAGCTCCCACACGCTGGGCCTCACTCAGAGCAGGGAGCATGACCCCCAAATCTCATCTAGCACAGAGTCCCTGGGCCCTTCCATTGCTTCACTAGGCCAAATACAGGAACCAAAATCATCAGTTTACAGGAAAGTATCACCTCATGATGGAAAATGTCAGAAAACAGAAAGAAAACTTTATGGTTGGGAATCAGGGTGATTTTTGCAGGTCAGCTGGATTTTGGGATGGCCTGTAAAGGGCAGCAGTGCAGCACCACTGTTCCAGACAATGAAAACCCACAAGGAGCCGTGCAGTATGGTCATTAATTCTCTACTTCTCCAACACAGCATCCAGCACGTGCTGTCCGTGGCTGTGTGCCCACACACCCCAGGGGCAGAGAGGCCCAGCCCACCTGGCCAGCAGGCACAGCTGTAGCCCTTGATTCCCTCCAGGCACGTGGCACTGTTGTGGCAGGGGTCAGAGGCACACTCCAGGATGTCCAGCTCGCAGTGGGTCCCCTCGAAGCCGGTGTCACTGCAGTCACAATGGTAGCTGTGGGACACCAACCAGAGCAAGGCATCAGCTCAGCCCTGGACAGCAGAGCCCCAGGTCAGGAATGGGCAAAAGAGCTCAGCTGTCAATGCTCACACCATTTGTGTTCACACCTTACCCCTGGAAAGGTCAATTCAGACACACAGGTATGTTCTCAGCATGGCCTGTGCTGTTCATGCTCTGCAAACCACTGCTCTGGGTTTGCTCCTCCCTTCCTTTAAGCAGCCCTGGAGTTCTGCTGCTGGGAGGGGGCTTCTCCCTTATTGCCACAAATCATTGTTACTGCCACTCATTGTACAAAACACTACATCCAATTCCCCCCAGAGCTTTCTACTCTGATTTTCACAGGCTGCACTGAGGAGACCTTTAGATCAGTCCTGGTGTCTGACTGCCCCCAGCACTGGTTTCTCACCTGTCAATGAGGTCATGGCATGTCCCATTGCTCTGGCATGGCTGGCTCTCACATTCATTGACGTCCACCTCACACTGGGCTCCCTCATAACCTGGTGCACAGGTGCAGGTGTAGAACCCAACGTGATCATTGCACAGGGCCCCGTTCTGGCAAGGGTCTGAAGCACATTCATCTATTTCAGTATCACAGTTCACACCTTTGTTAAAAAAACAGAAAAATATCTGTGTTACAAATCCACAGAAGTGTGTATGTGCTGCCTGGAATTCTGAGATGAAATCACAAGAGTTACCTTGTTTTATCATCAGTTATCAACCCCAGCTGGCTACCAGAGTGCATCTCTACTTGCTTCTCTGAAAATAAATTCCATTTATTTCAATTGTTTGTATCTTGCTTTGTGATACCCAGGAAAAAAGCACTAAAGTAGTGCAAAACACTGGGTACAGCAATACCTGATGTTAGGAAGTGATTTTATTGGGAAATGCTATTAAAAATGCAATGTTAGTGCCACTACTGGTCACAGTAAGTAACACCTGTTTGGTACAAAATCCCAACCTCCTTGATAAAACAAGACCTCATGAAAGATTTCTATGCAATTATCTTATCTGTATTGCACCTCTTTGAGCTGCCTGTGGCCTGGCATCCCCTCCAAACCTCACTCCTTACAATGGCACCTGCCAATCCATCTAATCTGCCCTCCTTGGCAAAGGCTCCCCACAGAGTGGGCAGGGCCATCCTAATCCTGGCGGAATGTGGGCCCCCTAATCTGGTTCAAACCCCTCAATACCCACACAAAACTTCCTTCACCCAAATTCCAGCTGCAAGCACCAGGAAACGACCTGGCCTTGCCAGCCAATGGTGCTCAAACCTCTGGATGAAGAACTAAATCCCAAGGCTAAGCCTCACGATTGACATCAGAATAACTCAAAGCACAACAAACTCCTCCAGCTGCCTGGGTCACTTTATCGCTCCTTTGGAAGGGAATCCACAACCCTGAATTGAGGATTCAACATAAAGATAAAAAAAGAAACTGATTTGCAAAGACAGAATTATGCTTGATACTCAAAACCATCAGTAACCTTAGGGCCCACATAAAAAAAAGTCTTGTTTCTCCTTCATCTCTCTTCATTTTTACCAGAGAGTGAGTCAGCATCAGGGACTACATTCCTTATGTTGTAACTTCTCCTCATTCCAGTGGTAATCAGCAGCATTCCTTCACAGCAACTCAACTCCTTAAACACCTCCCTCTGTGAACAGGAGGAAGGCTGAGAAAGTTCATGTGCGAGGTGGTACCAGGCAGACATGGACACATTCCACCCCCTGCACCCCGATAAGCAGGGCTGGGGGAAGGAGAGGCCCCCACTGCCTCCCTCACAGATCACTCCCAGGTGTGGATTCCTCTCTGAGTCACCATCAGCACAGATGCACAAAAGAGAAACACTTAAATCATATGCCAAATAAACATTCGCCAGGCATGAAAGAATTGGAAAGCTCCAGCTAAAAGACACTTTTTTGCAAAAGACAAGTGGAAAAATCTTGGAAAAATCCTGCTGGACAGGACAAAACTACAGGCCAGGTCAGCAGAGCGAAGTTATACCTGGAAACACTAAGGATCCATTTCCTGATGATAAATATCTTCTTATGTAATCTCCCTTAATTTTATGCTGAGAACTAATCACAGCTACTTTGTGCCTACACCTGTGTCCAGTTTTAGTCCACTCCTGGATCCCTGTCCCTCCACACCTACCCCACACATGGAATTCAGAGAATTGCTCACTGCCATCCCCAGCCGCTGCAGGAATGCAGAGCCCCGGCGAGGCAGGTGCTGAGCCCCGGAGCCCCCGGCACAGGGCGGGCCGTACCTGCATAGCCGGGCGCGCACCGGCACTCGTAGCGGTCCATGTGGTTGAGGCAGGTGCCGTGGTTGCGGCAGGGCCGGGACGCGCACTCGTCGATGTCGATCTCGCAGTGCGAGCCCTGGAAGCCGGGCACACAGAAGCAGCTGTATTCGCCCGCGCTGTCCCTGCAGATGGCCCCGTTCCGGCACGGCCCCGAGGCGCACTCGTCGATGTCGTCCCCGCAGGTGGCCCCGCCGAAGCCGGGCGGGCAGAGGCAGCGGAAGCCGCCCGGAGCCGCCACACACGTGCCGTTGTTGAGGCAGGGCTGGCTGGAGCACACGGAGCTTCCTGCCCGGCAGCCTCCTCCGGCGGGGCACCTGCAGGAGTACCCGGCTGGGCTATCCACACACTCCAGCCGAGGGTCTGGGCAAGGGCTGCTCTCGCACTCGTCCACGCTGCCACAGGCAGCACCTGCAGGGCCAGCTGGGCACACGCAGTCATATTCCAGCAGCCCTGGAGTCCGGCTGCAGGTCATGTGGGCAGGACAGCCACCTTCGGTGCAGGCATCGTACAGGAGTTCACAGTTCACGCCCGTGTAGGCTACAGGCTCCACAGGGCATGTGCACTGGTAACCCACCTCCAAATCCTTACAGCTCCCCCCATTCTCACACGGGGACGAGGAACAGCCACTGTCATTTTCTGAGCGTGAAGCTCCTGACGAGAAAAGAGACTTTTTGTTAGTCAGCATTTGTAGCTCTAAAGAAAAAAGTTCTGCCAATCCCCACATACAGCTCAGAGAGTGCCCAGCTAAATTCCACACTCCACAGGGCTGCACTAGCCAGGAGATCAGGATGATACTGGAGAATCAAACATCTACTATGAAGAAGATAACAGCCTTCATTAGGTGACAATCAAGAATCTCTTGCCAGTTTGGGTAACCAATTACCTGATTTTTCAGGAGACACTCACAAACCAACTATTTTACTTGTGCTTATTCATCCATGAGTCACTTTGAGAGCAGTGACACATATCACCTTAAATCCATTCACAAGATTAACTTAGTGTAAAATTCCATGACCCCTTTCACTGGCAGGGCACAGCATTTGTGCCTGGAAATCCAGAGAGGCAGGGCGAGTTCAGGTGTGGGCTGCAGCTCTCTCTGTCCCAGCTGCTCCTTCTGGGGATCCGTTTTTTTCTCAGCTAATCCAGAAGTGATTTGAAGATGCTCCCATAAATAACCCAAGGCAAACTCAAACGGGCACATTTCACAGAGTCTCTGATTACATGGGGCAGCTCAGGTTGATAACCACTGACCCTCACCCTCTCCTCCTGTTAGAAATGTACATTTACACAGCAGGACATTTTAGCAAGAAAGAGCAGAGACTGCTGAGATCACCGTGCTGATGGCATTTGGGATCAGTACCTGCTGAGCCAAAACACCGGTCCAACAACCAGACAACCAGGAACTGATGTTGAGACCAGATTCCCCTAAATCTGGGAGCATGGATGTGATCAGTTCATTCACACTGAGCCACAATGCCTTGCTGTCCCCTCCAAGGCAGAGTTTAAAAGGCTCTTGCCCCATTAAGCAACTCCACCATCGGAAATGTGATGGGATGTGCCCACTGAACTGCAAACTTAGTCCATGTAAATGAGATTAAGTAGGATACATGATATTAAAAAAAAAAAAAAAAGTTCAACATAGATATTTCAAATGGAGCACAATGGAACAAAATGAGGAATCCTCATTTCTTTTCCAAAAGGAATTTTAAATTGACTCTGTAAAATAAGGGGCAGATTGGCCAAAGGGCAGGACAGCCCAGGGGAGAGGAGATAACAGCCTTTATGTTAGAATTAGGATATATGTCCTGGATTCAATGCCACAATTAAGCACTTTCCAAAAGACACAAACCAACCAAAAATTAAATAAAGGGACAAAGGCAGTGGAAATAGAGAACTTTGCCTTCCACAAAGGCAGCAGTCATTAGCACCTCATCCCACTGTGGCCTTCAGAGATCAGAGCTTCTCATTCTGCTCAACTCCAAGATAAATAAGAGAGCTGTGTGGTAGAGATATCCCAGCCTGCTTTCTGTGTAAGTGTTATAAAACATCCAAACTTGGAAGTAACTCTGCAAACAACTATATAGCAGATGTTTGGAAAATGTCGATGAAAAATGGTCTCAAAGCAGTGATAAAGTTCGTGAAGGAGCAAATGCTCCTGAGAAATTGCTACTGGTGAGACAATCCAGACTTCCCTGGTGCTGGAAGTCAAGCCATCACTGGAAGCCTTTGGACAAGCAGCTCTTCACCCTTTCTGCTGCCCTCTCTCTGTAGCTGGCCCAGCTGGTGACCACAAAGCTGCAGTGGGGAGAGGGCAGGATCCCCAATCCCTGCAGCCCCCTCAGCCCCCCTGCTCCATGGGGAATGGTGCTTTACCCTGCCACGCTCCATGCTGAGGGCTGGCCAGGATCACACACCCCAGCACTGCTCCCCAGCTGCCCTCTCACCGGTGCCAGCATTACCCTGGCCCAGTTTTGGGCACCTTTGCCTTGCTCTGGTGCTCCTTCCCCACCCCGGTAGTGAAGCTGTGCCACTGGTGCTCTATCAGCTCTGCCTCCTCGGGCTCTTTGTACCTGAAGGTGGAGGCACCGACTTCAGTGGCTGAAAGGGATTTATAGGAGACTTTGGTTTACAAAAGCCTGCCCCTGCCCTGACCTCCCCCGAATTCCTCCCCCCAAAGACTGCAGTGTTTCTAAGTCTTCTTTCAAGAGGCAGTGCTGGGGGAGGGAGGGTACTCAGGGATTTAGGCAGCCCTTTCTCTTCCCAGCATCATCTCCATGGCCCACCCCTCCCTTCCCCTCTCATGTGATGCTGGGGAGAGCTGCTGAGCCCTGCACTGTCCAGCAATCCCATTATTCTGCCATCAACCCTTTTATTCTCAGATTCCCAGTCAGGCAGAAAACAAGGATGACGGAATCTGCCTGGAATCTCTGTGGCAATTAGAGTGGAAGCCCAGGAAACTATTTGCAAAAGAGCTTTACTAGGCAGGAGATATGAGCCTTTGTAGGCTTAATGAGTAACCCGCCCCTGCCCGCACTTTCCAGAGGCCAGGAGCACAGTTTGGGACAAAAAAGGAGTCTGGTGCATGTTGGGAAGGAGCTGCAGCACACTCCATCTGCAGAGAAATTCCCATTTCCACAGAATCCCCAGGCACTGCTGGCATGGCCAGGCTGAGTCACTGCCAAGGCTCATGTGTGGCTTTCTGCTTCCATGAGAAGAACACAGGCAAAATGCTTTTTTGCAAATAAAGCTAAACATCACAGCCCTTTGCTATTTCCTGCCTTTCCCACACCTTTTTGTACCTTTTCTGGTTTGGTCCATCGTATAGCTCAGCCACAGACAACACAAAGCTTCCCTAATAAGTGCAAAGGCCTTCCTGGCTACCAAAGACAGCAGTGAAGGAACAGGGAGAACTCTGGTCTGCTCAAAACTCACGTGACCATGAACAACAGCATTCCATTAATCCATGGTTGATGTATGTACTTCAGCAGGACAGCATTTTGGAGAAAAATGTTCCTTTTCTGGAACAGACATCCTGAAGTAACACAGTGCTGCTCACAGGGCATGCATGGAGCAGGCTGAGTTCAATGCAGTGTAAATCACAAGAAATGCAATTTATCTAAATAACTGCAAATTATTCTGTGAACTGCAGCTGGCAGCAAATCCCCCACGTGTCTGACTGACTCCGTGGAGGCTGCAGGCACTCAAACAGCACAAACCCAAACTGCATCACACAGCCCCTGTATCCAGCACGCCTGTACTAATGGGGAATTTTCCCAAGGACAGAACATGGCCCTGTGTGAATGAATTCTAACCCTAACACTCCTTCCATGGCAGTGCTGAACATCTGGCTTGACAAAGAGCACATCTGATGTTTTTATTCTTTTCAGCCATCAGTCCTAGGCATACACTTACTTACTGCTCTCAGTTTTGGAATAGATTAATATATGAATGTGAATAGCACATGAATATGCACCAAACACTAATAAGGAAAATGAATAAATTAGCTTTTCCTGCTGCACAATATAACAACCATGAAAATCAGGTCAAGGAAATCACTGACTAACAAGAGTTTATAGTTTTTCATCAAAGTAGTTGTTGCTGGATTAACAATGACATTCAGAAGTTTTCCTTTACATTTCACAAGAAAAAAACAATTTAGTGATATTTGTAAGGGAAAAAAAACCCAGAAGTGTATTATAATGATACCATCCTGCAAGCCTGTGCTGAATTGAAACTGGAGGAGACCACAGCTCCTTTGAAGAACAGTTCCAGGCATTTAGGGGTGGATTAGGAGGAACATCAAAGGCTACCAGAGTCCCATATAAAGCATTCATTGAGCTCTGTCAGGACAGGGCTGGTTTTACACTTTAAAGGTAGCTGACAAAGATTTTCCCCAAACGATGAGGTTTGTGACCTTTTGTAACACTTTAAGGCAAACAAGCTGCATTACCAGGCTCTGTTTTAATAATTGACTTTAATAATCTTATACTTTAAACCTGAACTATGTGATCTTGTCAAAGTTGCAAAGTTTTTTGACCACAAAAAATCAAAATTAATGAGAAGTTAGGCAATTACCTCTGTGATTGGAGATGCTGCTTTAGCATTACTCGCTGGCTTCTCTTCTGGGGATTTGCGCTTCACAAGTTTCTCTTGGGTAACTGATGGAGGATGGATGTTCTCAATCTGCAGACACCCTGACCTTGGGGAAGCTGCTCAGTGCTGCACTGATAACTACCTTAAAGGTGTCTTACTGATCTCTTAAAATTGCAGCAGGGAAGAGGCAGCACTGGGGCTCTCAGCTCACAGCTTCCTTTGTACTGAAGGACAGATTTTTTTTCTGAGCAGAGGCAGTGGTGCCTACTGGAAATGCCATCCCTGAACCCCTGTCCATGGGTGAAAATGAAAATGTACCTTCCCCTGCACAGCTTGTGCAAAATGGTCACAACCACAGACACAGCTCCCACAAGTCAGGCTGCCAGGATGTTATTTCCTGGCCCAGCAAAAACTGATATTGAGCTTGGACAAGCCAGATCCACCTCAAGTGGAAAGAAGCTTCCTTCAGATGTTTTTCACCTGTCCTACTCACTACAGCAACTGAAAAACCCCAATTTACAGCCAAGAGGTGAGAAGAGCAGATTCCCAGAGCACCACAGCAGTCACAGAGCTTGAGGGATCTCCAATTTCCAAAACCAGGTCTGGTCAAAGCCCAGCCTGGGGCAATTCTCACCAGTCAGGCTGTGCTCCTGCTGCTCACCCCAGCAAACCTCCCACGGGAGAATGATCCTGAGGCCAAGGGTGGAAAGGGAACCCTTCCACCAGAAGGAACCCAGAGCAACACAACTACAAAATGAACTCTGAAGAAAGGAATGGAGAGTTAGGTCTCCATGACAACAGGAAGGCATGTGCTTATATTAGTAAATCCCTGCTGACCTCTGCTGATCTTTCCCTATCCTGGTCAGTGTAAAGGATTAGTGAAAGGGGACACACTTTGGCCTGTTCCCAGGATCCACACAACCAGAAAGGGAAATGGACAGGCTTGCAAAGGGGCTTTCATAGCCACCCTCTCTCTTCCCCACCCCTTTGTCCTTCCTCACTTTGGAAGGACAGCTATGGAAGAGAATGGCAGGACAAAACCAAATTCTTCTTCAGGAAGCAGCTTCCAAGTACCTGCTCAGGGTACAAGGCCTCTTCAGGTGCTTCAGGGGCCCAGAGCCAAGACCTTCCTCCCCATTTTTAAATGGCAGAAAGGATTCTGAGATATATCTGCTGGTTGAAACTAATCATCATTGTTACTGTCTCAGGTTATCATCTTATCAGGTCTGATAATTTATGTGAAGCAGGACATGGCACTATGGCCAAAACCCACAAACCCTGAAAACAAAGATTAGCTAATGCAAAAGTGGTGCTGGCAATCAGCAGGCAGGACTTCTAAGACCATACTGAATAAATGGCCTGACAAAATGCCAGGGATCCCAGCAGTGCCAAGAGTGCCTTTTGGAAAAGTCACTTTTAAAAAGAGCCTCCCTATTCATGACTTTGATGTCTCTTGGAGAGTTTTGGTAGGCTAAATGCACAAGCCCAGTGTCTCAGCCAAATAGCACCTTGGATACCAACTGCAAGGCATCTCCTCACTCCCTGCACACAGGCCAGATTGCAGCTGTACCCAGATATGGTGTGCCCATCACTTCTCAGGCTGCTTCTGACATTGTTTCTCTTTGTTACTTGAGACCAACAAATTCCACATCACATTTGCACGAGATTTCTGGTGTGACAGAACTTTTAATGCCAGATATATGCACACAGTCTACTGGTGTAAAATATTGATATAGAATTTACAAAGGCCTAGACCTAGACTTTCATTCATTCAGGCACCACAAGTGTGGCTCAGGTTCTTCTTGAGAATATTTACCCCCTCAGAGAAGGAGGATGGTGATTGCTGGCTCTCTGCCCCCCAGCTTGCCCAGTGAATCACTCAAAGGTGCCAAACACTGGGCACCAATCCACGGGGCCCAGCAGTGCCAACATCATGGCCCAAGGCATTAACAGCATTAGCCAGAAATACCACTTCAGGGAATTGAACTCATTCTTACCACAGAACAAGAAGCCAGCTAGCTTGTGTTCATTTCTGCTCACTGTCTTACTGCAGATTTGAAGGTGTAACTCCTATTATCAAGCTTCCAGAACTGGGAAGAAGACAGGAGCTGTGAATCCCTGGTTTATGACAGCATTGAATTTACTGCCACCGTAACTCTCTGATCTCCTGTGCTCAGGACACCCCAGTATTTTCCCTTAATGAACACTCCTCCAAGCTGACCTTCATGTTTCACATATTCTCTGATCTCTCAGCCATTTCCACAGATCAAACACTGGGACAGGGACTTTCCTGTGTATTCAATTCACCAGAGTGAGTCACAGGCTTTCATTTCCAATTCTTATTTAAATATACTGACAATGAACGAAACAGCTGGGAAGATTGGTTCTGTTTGTTCCCCAGTTTTGAAGTAAGCCTTAAACTGTCCCTGTGTCCGAGCTAATCTCAAGAGCTGGCATTAGAGCTGATAGCAGAAAAGGCTTGTCTTGCACATGTTCCCCCTCAGCAGGCGTCCAAAGCATCTTCCAGGCAAAAGGTATGTGAATTCCTGTGCCTGCTGATGCTGCAGCTGTGGGAACAGAAGTGAGAAGACACTCCTTCTGCCCTCCAGAATGTCTTTGAAAGACAAGGAATTAGCTGGGAGCTATTCTATTGTGCTCCCATTACACAGGCAGCAGCAGTAAAAGGGGAGTCACAGGCAGTTGCCCCTCCGGGGTTTCTTTTAAACTACCAGAGATTGTGAGCATCTGCCTGCAGGATGTCTGATGGGTACACATTGCACCAGGCCAGCTGCATTCTCAGAATTTCCACAAAAATTTTGAACAAGTAGCTTAGGCACTCTCTGCTTCAATGACATTTAGACTCAGTCAATTAGAAATAAAAGAAGTAGTGATATGGTTTCTAAGGGCAAGAAAAGACATTTCTTCATGGCCTTAAAAACCTGAAAATGCCACCTAAATAGCACCATTCACTCCAGTTAAAATCTGGTAGAACTCCCCTTGCAAAACAGGAGTAGGTGAAAAGACCATGAAAACCAGCCCTTCCCTCCAGCTCTGCGGGCTCCAGCAAGAGGAGTCATCCATCCACGGGCACTCAAATGAGCACCAAGCTCTCCCTAAAGCAGGCTCCAGAGAAGAGCCCTCTCTCTCCAGGAGTGCAAAGCCACAAGGGCAGTGGGCAGAGAGCACGAGCCCTCGGGGCCAGGGCCTGGCAGGCACACGGGGGATCCCGCTCGGCCCCTGCCCCGCACAAAGCCACCCTCGCTGCCTCACACTCCCAACCAGTAGCTATGGTTACCAGATACAAAAGACAGTCCTGCTGCTTCCCCGTGGCCAGAGGAATTCCAGGCACTTGGAGCAAACACACCAGGCAAAGAAACTGGTACAAGGGAGAGGAAGAAAAAGAAAAAAAGACAAAAATCACAACATATTTTGACTTTCACATTCACGGTTTGAGGTGGTCAGAGCAACAGAAATCTTGGGAGGCTTCAAAGGGAAAAAAAGAGACTGTTGGGGAATCAGAGAAAAAGCTGAAAACTTTCCCCAAATCTCAAAAATTACATAAACATCACCTATGAATGCAAGAAAATGCCAAGTGCCACGTTCAGCAGGCACAAGCAGAGAAAAGGCTCTGACTGTATTTCCTCAATGTTCTCCTATTTCACATCCATTTCTTCATGCCATGGATCATACTTTACTTGCTCAGAGGAAACCAAGCCTGACTTGCACCTACAGGTAACTGGCCTGGCAGTGCTGAGGGCAGGACAAGGAGACCAGTTCAATCCCAATCATACTTTCCAGTAAAAGGCTGGACGTGTTCCTGACACGACCTTCTAATCCCTAGATGACTAAAACAGATGTCTAGGCCCAGCAGATCTCTAGGCATCTATTCCAGAAGAAACAGAGATACCTATTTTTCAGGGAACATAAGATATTGTAAACAGGGGTGTCAATGGAACCCAAAGATAGCCTTGGGAATTTGGAGAATCTCAGTGTACTCAAGCAGATTCTTTGGCTATAAAATAAGTTTTCAGTGTGGGAAAAAAACACAAAACAAAGCATTTCCCCATAAACTCTTTTGTTACCTCATTGTTTCTTGCACTTTGAGGATGGATCTGCTTTTTACAAAATTTCTAAGTGGAGACACTCCTGTCCTGTGATCTCCCTCCACATTTTGTACCAGATGTATCTGGCACTACACTCCTCAGGGTACCATCCCCTTGTGCTCAGATGTCTTTATTGAGCATACAGGATGGAAATAAAGGTCTGTGTTTCTTCTGTGTGGGCACAACCAAAATATTCAGACCTTTCCAATGGAGAAAATGGTTACTATCATAAGTGAATACTTAGTTACATGAATACTTAATTACTTTCAGTTCTTGTGAATAAATGCAAACATACATGTGCACAGGGAGAAAGATGAAAAGAGACAAGAAATAAATAGAAGGAACAACACGTCTACAATGAAATGCCTGCTTATCTTCCTGACAAAAGTTTTCAGGCTACAAATCTAACCGTAAGATGACAATTTGTTCAATATAAGGGCAGGTCACAGATTTGATCAAAGTTACTGCATAGTAGCTGGGTAAGAATCAGGCACAGAAGACAAAAACTTACCCCAAAACAAGAGGAAAAGTGGCAGCAGGAGAGCAGCATGGTACGGCCTGGAGGTAGTTTTCTTTAATTCCATGACAAGTGCAAGAGTGGCCGCTCTAAAGCCCTCCGGGGAGAGCCAGGAGCCGGAGCCCAGCAAGCCCCTCCTGTGGCCACATCACGGTGC